AATATTCCCAGACTTATGATGGGACTTGAGAATGAAAAGGAAAATCATACATCTGACATGAATATCATTGATCAATGAGAGGCAATTTCTGTCAATATCATTCCAAGATACTTTTGGGCTAGATAACAATGATACAGAGAGGAGAAAGGGGTATACCCTCAGTCAATCAGAAGCTTTATAGGACAGTAGCAAAATTATTTCTGGAACAGCATTGGGAAAAGAGGCACACGAACCCCATTTGTCAATCTTGAGACTTGGAATAATAAGCCTCCATTTGGGAGGAATGCATGGGACAACTGTTCTTGAGATACCAGGTTTCAGTTAAGACAGGACACTGGAGGGAATATTAAAGAAGAGATTGAAGATATAGTAGAATTGTTTTTAAAATCTCGGAATGCACAGATTTTGGAAGGAGGAGAGTAGTGGGAGATTGACTCAGGGAGGAATATAAAGCCGTATGGGAATGTGCACACAGGAGGGGCTAGATGATTGGGGGGGCTTACATTTTGAGTGGTGAGTTTGGATGACCAGAATATAAGGCATGAAGGGATTAGCAGTCTTCAAGGTTTCCAAATAATTAGTCCTAGCAGCCTCTCAATGCATAGGAGATGGGGAGGAAAGAAACTTAGGCTAGTGTGGCAGGAGAGAGCTATGGCCAGGAGCAATTGTGTTTCCAAGAAATCCCAGGACAAGTGAGTGGGCTGTCACTGTAACTGGTTCCAGGACTTTGGCCACATGTTGGAAACAGCTAATCTCTTGTGGGACATATACTGTATCTGGTTTTCCTATAGCAGAGTACACCTGCAGTGTGACTTAATTGTGCTGGAGTTGAGAACAACATTCTGTCCTCAAGTGGAAGCCACAGATCCCTTAGTCCTGAGGGGGAGCAGAGACATATTTAATTGGCAGGCAAGGATTGGAATTAGTGAGTTCTCAGCTTAGCATGCTGCAGGTCATACAGGCATAGTGTTGAGCAGCACACTGGTACTTAGCTGGTACATCCAGGCATAGTGTTGAGCAGCACACTGACACTTACTTAACAATCAGGCTTTAATTTATTATTTGCAAAATAGAACGACGTGCATTGCTCTTTAGATTTTACAGTAGGGTGGTGGGGTAGGCTTAAGCAATGTCTCACCTATTTTCTCAAGTTCTTCTTTGAGGTAAAAAAAAATCAAATCAAAGGGTCATGAGGATTGCAGTTTGCAGTAGAGCTTGAGCATAGGGAAGAAGAATTAGTGAGCATAGGGGTATTATAAGAATCACATGACAAAATAGCTAAGGATACAGGAAACATGATGGAGCTCAACTTTCAGGTGGATATAGTCTCTCTGTGTTCTAGCTCTCTAGTATGGTGCTTGGCATAGGTCAGGCAAATATCTAACCATGTTTGTTGGTGAGTCTTTTGTTGCTCAGATTAGCAGGAGAAAGTAGCAGCAAGTGGGCACTTTTATTAGAGCTGGTGCTGAAATGAAATGTAGTTATGTACTGTGGTTGCAAACTGGCAGACTTAAGGATATCTGAAGTGGAATCTGCAATTAATTTCTCTCCCCACCATGGCCACATGCCCTCTATTCTCTGGCATACCCAAGTATTGCTGCTAGGGCCTCAGCATCCTACTGGGGGAGATATCATAGATTAATTGGTGGTAGTGGAAAGAATTCCTCTCCTCTCCTCTCCTCTCCTCTCCTCTCCTCTCCTCTCCCC